GAAGCCTGCAAAGCCTCAAGGGGCATCTGCCAGGCTGCAGGCATATGCACTTGATCCTGGGAGTGGACCCTGGATCCATCTGCGTGTATGGAATGGGGAATGACTGGGGAGAACCAGGACAATGCTCAGGAAAATTCCCATAGGAAGAGGACGAGCCTGTAAGTACCTTAGTGCCAGTGAGTACAGACAGGTGAACGGAGCATCGTGTGCAAGCAGAAACATCAGGCCTTGGAAAGAGCAGGGGGTCAGGTGCTAGCAATCTAACTAAATTATATTGCTTTAAGATGAGCAGCCTTCCTGGGGAACATTTGCATTTTTAAAGGACGCCTTGTGAACACAAATCCGTGAGCAGTAAGTCCAGGGCAGACTTCCTGTTCTCATCACTTGCCTGGGCTTATCCCACCCTTGTCCCCACACTTCTGCTTGGCACTCCTACTTTGAAGAGTGACCAGTCCTGCCTGTGCCTTCTGAGCTTCCCAGCGTCCACTTCCTCCTCTTGCCACATCTACAGAAACCCAACCCCAACCCCTCAGCATTGGGGAGTACACCCCTTGGACTAGGAGTCTGGCTAGAAGAACAGGGGTCCCATAAAAAACCTCAGGGTCCTCGGGCACCCATGAAGATGCATGGCTCAGCCCTGTGCTTGCAACCCGGGGCCTCTAACCTCCATGGGGCTGGTCAGAGTAAAGATGGTTTCAAAAACAGCTGCCCCACCCTCTGGGCCTAAAAAGGGGTTGGGGTACAGAAATGCTAAGGGCTGAGGTGGAGAGAGGCTGTCTTGATCCCCACACCCTAGCTCTGATCATATCTGTCCCCAGTGAATATGCTGAATGGGGGTACCTCTCTTGAGGGGCAGGTATTTCCAGAGTATAGCTGGCACTGCACTGGGGATTGTTGCCCTGGCTGTGGTCTCAAGGCTGGGGCAGAGGTTCCTGCAAAAGCCTAATAGCAGGTCCTATGCCTTATCCAGAGACACGATGTGAGGCAATGGATCCTGGGGAGATGCAGCCTCAAAAACAGCCCTATCCCCATCACTCTGCCTGTCCCCTCACCTCCCCAACCCCAGGGCATTATGGCCCAGCAGGGTGTCTTGGGCTCCACTGGTAGAGCATACTGAAATGCCTGAGAGGGGGTCGGCTCTTGGGAATCTGGAATCTTGGGAAGACTGACTCATTAAGACCACTGGCTGGCTTGTCTCTCCTTCCCGAGACCTGTGGGGCTGAGCCATAGCCTCAGGACTGAAGTTAGATTGGAGACTTACTCCTCAGAACAGACTGTGAGAAGATTCAGATCTCTGAAATGCAGAGGCAGTTCCAGGGCCTCTCCCTTTAGCTCAACTCCAGGCTGTCCAAAGGGTAGAATGCAGACCCCACAGCACCAGGGCTGAAGGCTGGGTTCTCCCCAGAGCTTCCAGACAAGGATAGGTGTGGTGTTTGGAGGAAGAGACCCCTGCAGGGATGAGAGGAACCATCCTGTCCCAAGCAGGAGAGTCAAGCCATGACGGGGGTCCCATCACTGGCGTCTTCTGATTGCCTCCTTGTATGGCAAGGAGTCTGTCCTTGCAGATAAGCTCTGGCCCATAGGCCTGGGCCTGTAGACCTCGAAGGGAGGGCCTGTGGGGTCCCTCTGTGGACTGTCCTGAGTCCTTAGGGGGCTGGGTATGGAGTAGAGGAGGGCCAAGTCGACCAGCGTTGGGGACAGGAGGAGCAGACCCTGGCTGTGGCAAAGTTGACTGACCACTCCCTTTTCTCCCTTTCAGGGACTCAGGGGGCCAAGGCATCGAGCGGTAAGCAACAAGGCCCTTGGGTTGGGGGACAGAAGCGGGCTTATCTGAGAGCTGTGAGACTGGCCAGAAGCTCTCAAACACACCTGGGAGGCGACCCAGAATAAATGGGCAGGGCGTGGGGAATTCCAAAGTAAGGAAAAGCTGTGGCTCAGTAGAACTGGAGCCCAGACAGGAGGATGTCTGATAGCCCAAGAGGACCACTGAGGCATGAAGCATGGAGATGGGGGCAGGAAAAAGTGACAGGAAGCTAAGGATGGTACCTGTTGATTATTCTGCTGTAATAATAACAGACTCCCTTGGGATTACCTACCCTGTGTGGGACCCTCCCAATATCCACTGTCCTTCCAGGAGCCCGTTTGTCAGGCCCTGGGGTAAGACCTCTACATGTGTTCTCTCAACCCTCACTACAAAATTTTACAGGTGACGGGCATGAGGCACATTGGGGTGGGGGTGGGGTGGTCTTTCCCACAATTGGGAAGTGTCTGCCTGTGTCAGAGGCTGACCTGATGCTCAGGCCTCTGACCTGCCCCCCTCCCCGCCCCCCAATCTCAAGCAGGTCAGGGGCTGGGGAGCCCTGAATTGAGCAGAAAGAAGAAGCGGGAATGTGGGGCTGGGGTAGAGAATCAACCATGGAACCAACCCCCAGCGAGCATTGCCTTGTGTTACCCTAGTCTGCGGGCACCCAAGGATGCTGAACCCGATGGTAGGCGGGCAGGATGCCTTGGAGGGTGAGTGGCCATGGCAAGTCAGCATCCAGCGAAACGGAAGCCACTTCTGTGGGGGCAGCCTCATCACAGAGCGGTGGGTCCTCACTGCAGCGCACTGCTTCTCCAAGTGAGTTGGCCAAATCCCCCTCCCTCCCTCACCACTGATCTCCCTTGTCTGCTCCGCCTTCCAGCTGCAATTGCTGCTTCCCAGTCAGCCCTTGCTCCCCAAAGCCCAGCAGAGAGGTCCACTGCTTGTCTCACCAGAGAGGTGCCTGGCCAAGCCTGGGGCCCTGTGCCTGCAAAGGCTGGCAGGCTCTTCCCACACCCTAGCCCTGGCCCTGATCCCTCCTCCCACACCTCAAATTCAGGACACTCCCTTTTCCAGCTGGGACTCTGGTTACAGATGAGCCCAAGGACTGGAGTAGAATGTCCCTTCCTCCTCCTCACCATGCCATCCCTGACCAAAGGGCCAGGCCAACCATCCCTGCTACCACACTGCAAACCTCCCGACCCCTGACCTTCAAGGTTTCCCAAGAACCTCAGCTCTTGCCTCACCACAGCTCTGCAATTCCTTTAAAATCTCACATCTTAAATTTAGCAATGCAGGCTCAGAGGGAGTAGTTCGCTGGGCCAATCCCGAGTTGGCTGGCCCCCAACTGCACTGCCGTGGGTGTTTATCTTCTTCACCCCTCACAGCAAGACTTTCAAGTAGGGGCTGTTACTGTCCCCACTTCACAGTTGAGGAAACTGAGTCACAGAACTTGACAGGTGACTTGCCCAAGGTCACCCAGCTGGCCAGGGGTGAAGCTGGAAATTAAAGTCAGAGATTAAAGCCATTTTAGCTTATGCACCCTTAACCACCCCACCCTAATGTGTGTCCCCCTGGAGATTTTTTTGAAGATACTATACAAAGAGAGATGTCAGGCAGTAAACCTGGAAAACAGGAGGGAGGTATGTGGCAGCGGAGAAACACCACCAACTCCTTACTCTTTCCTTTCCCCATCTAACCTCCAGCAACATCCCCTTTGAAGCCCCAGAGGGGCTGCCTCACACCAGCTCTCTGCTCTTTCCCACCAGCACCTCTGAAACATCCCTGTACCGGGTCCTGCTGGGGGCACGGCAGCTGGTGAAGCCAGGCCCGCATGCCATGTATGCCCGGGTGAAGCGGGTAGAGAGCAACCCCCTGTACCAGGGCATGGCCTCCAGTGCCGATGTGGCCCTGGTGGAACTGGATACACCTGTGACCTTCACCAACTATATCCTCCCTGTGTGCCTGCCTGACCCCTCGGTCACTTTTGAGACGGGCACGAAATGCTGGGTCACCGGCTGGGGCAGCCCCAGTGAACAAGGTAATGGGGCAGAGGCAGAAAATGGGGGACATACCTAGAGATGATCCCAGGAAAGTTGGGGGCCACTTTGAACCAACAATCTTTTTGTTGATATGGGTACACATGATGTCTACTGAAATGGGTGGAGTGAGTATGGGAAAGAGGCAGCAAACTCAGAAGGAGGAGCCATAGAGAAGTGGAGAGAGGCCAGAAGGAGCTCAGCCTGGTGCATGGAAGGAGGGAAGGAGGAATTGTCCCACAAAGCCCTGAGCCAAAAGGTCTAAAACCAAGCAAGAAATGGGGAGCGACAGAGCTGTGATTCTCGAGAACCCAGGGCCACGGGGTCCTTGGTAAGACTGTCTGCTAAGATGCAGGGTGTTTCACTCCTCCACAGACCGCCTGCCCAACCCTCGAATCCTGCAGAAACTTGCTGTGCCCATCATTGACACACCCAAGTGCAACCTACTCTACAGCAAAGATACTGACTCTGACTTCCAGCTGAAAACCATCAAGGACGACATGCTGTGTGCCGGCTTCGCTGAGGGCAAGAAAGATGCCTGCAAGGTACGGGCTGGGATAGGCTGCGCCAGAGGCTGAGCCCTGCTCCCTAGGCCCAGGTCAAGGTGGGAACTAGCCCAGCCTGGTTGAGGCCCCAGAAGGTGGGCCCACAGTCCAGACCAGAGCTGTGCATTCAGTCAGATGGGAAAGGCAGATCCCTGGACCCCACCCAGGGGAGTCAGTAGGTGTGCAGTGGGGGTCGAGAAAATATACTTTCAACATACCACTCTGAGCAGATGGTCTGAGAGTGCTAAAGAAATGGGCACCCCAGGCCAGAAAAGGAAGGACCAGCCAGTGGTGTGAGGAGAGCTGGGCAGGGACATTCCTAGGGCTGAGAGTTGAGGAGAGGAACAAAGGGAGGAAGACAGCTATGTGTGCCTGTGTACCTGCTGGCTCTTGGGTCCCTGTGGGCTGACAGTTCCTCTACTTCCTCCACAGGGTGACTCAGGGGGCCCTCTGGTATGCCTTGTGAACCAGTCATGGCTTCAGGCTGGGGTGATCAGCTGGGGTGAGGGCTGTGCCCGCCGGAACCGTCCAGGTGTCTACATCCGGGTCACTTCCCACCATAACTGGATCCATCAGATTATCCCAGAACTGCAGTTCCAGCAGGCCAGGTCAGGTGGCCAGAAGCGGGAACCCCGGGTCCAGCAGCCCCTTGATCAGAATTTTGCGCCCTGCCTGGCAGCCCACACCATCCTCCTGGTCCTCACCGCCCTGCTCACCTGCCTCTGAGCCCCACTCAGGCAGGTGGGTGAGCACAGCCTCAGGGCCTACGTGTACATTTGTAAATAGCTCTGATTCTCCCTTCTTTCAAATGCCCAGTTATTTTTATTTATGTTCACCCTCTAATAAAAACCCGACCTCAGTGCCAGCTGCCTTGGTGTGGATCCTGAGGGAGAGGGGAGTGGAGAGGCACCAGATGGGGGTGGGGTACTGAGCTGTGAGTTGGGGACAGTGCTGAATGGGGACATGTGGAGGGTTGGAGCACATGGAGGGTGAGGCTCACAGTGGGAAGAGAGCTGCGGCAGGCACACTGGAAGCTGGATGTCACTGGATTCCAGGGCCTCGGTGTCCCATGACACCTGTCCCCAGAACTCATAGGCGGCTTCCCTGCTCATTGTCTTTGCTAATGCAACTCTCACCATGTTGCCAAGGGGCACCCGGACTGGGCCCTGGGGGCAGCGATAGGCCCCCCACAAAAAGTGGGGGCCTGGCAGAGGGTCCTGGAAGAGGAGGGCTTTATATGGTATGGAGGACTCACTGCCTTCTCTGAGCTGGTTTTTCTCCTATAACCCAGGACGGCGCCCCCACCTGCCTCTTGGGGTGACTCAGTAGATGGTGAATGTACCAGAGGGTGCAGCAGGGCAAGGCAGTGATGCGGATCCTGCTGTGGGCTCCTGTGCCTGCCCGCCTCCTTCCTAGGCTCCAACCCCACCCAGGAAACTGCCTGGGGACAGCTCCACTGGCGCCCTGCAGACCCAGTGCCCCAGAAGGCTGGACCTCCCCAGAGCTTGGGGATGCAAGGACCATAGTGGCCTTATCAAATCCACACACTGCATGGGCAGAGCTGTGACAGGTGTCACACAAAGGCAAGACCCAGGCCACTTGGGCTGTGAAGGCTGAGGCTCTGGCAACTCCCTGGGCTGGGATCCCCTCTTTCCTCCTTCCACAGGGTTCAGGGTCCAGGTCAGACTTGGTGACTTTAATGGTTTGTGCAAGAACCCTCTTGCCCCGCAAAATTCAGAAATGAGCCGGAATCCTGCATAGAGGCCCCACCCCAGGCCAGCTGCCCGGCTTGATCCCAGCTCTGGGGCCCCACCCTCTCAGGCCTTGACCTGTCATCAGCAACCACACACAATCTCCCTAAACCCATCCCTCCTTCCCAGTGTGCCCTGTTTCAGCCTGTCACCACCAGGAATCCAGCATAAACAGGTCTCTGGAGCTCAGGCCCCCAGTGTGTTCACAGCCCTGCTGTGATGGTGCAGATGCCCATAGGGCAGCCTTAGCTTCACAGGCTGGCCACAGCAGACCTCTTCTGCAGCCAGGTGGTAAGCTCCCCAAGTGGGCCGATTCTCAAAGGGTACCTGGGTTCACCTGCCATGCTCAGCAAACACGGACTGGATGAGACTCCTAGGAGGGCAGGGATTCTTCTACTGCTGCCTGCACACATCCATGCCTCCACTCACATGTTCATACCCATGCACACCTATGCACATAGAAACACACACATATGCAAGTGCATGCACGCACCTGCTTGTGTACACACAGCCACAGCTTGCCTGCCCGATGCCAGGAAGAAAGTAGGCCTGGATATTTATGGAATGAATCAATAAGCACTTAGCAAGCCCCTGCTATGGACTGGCCTTGGGGACAGAGTGGGAACAAATTCTGAATTCCCTTCTGTGCTCCTTTGCCAGGTGCATCCCTGACTCCAGATAGGAAGGACCAGGAGGTGCAACTGGTAGAGGCTCACAGGGGCCCCACTTCCCAGCTGGCTGCTCTGTGGCCCTCCAGGGACTGACTGCGCTGTTTACCGCTCTCCTCTAGACCAGAGATGGGTTCCAAGTCCCTCAGGGGGCAGCAGGTGAACCAAGGCTTAGGCAGCGGGGCTGGGTGTGGAACCAAGCTGCGGGTGTCCTGAGGGCAAGTTCTCTGTCATCCTGGCTGGGAGCAGAGGCTGGCTTGGGTCCTGCAGCCTTAGAGAGAGGCCTGGGCAAACCCTCAACCTGGCTCTGGGGGTATAAAAAGCCTCAGTTCCATGGTGGTGGTGGGGAAGAGGTTAGGTGGTCCCTGGAGGGAGGCCTCTCTGCAGCCTCTGTGGGGAAGCCAGAACAAAACCTGACTGCTCGGAGATGGCCAAGCACCAGACTCCACTAGGAGGACTAGCCATCCTATCTCTGCCTCCTCCTACCTGCTATCCTTGCTTTCTGAGTGCCCTGGGGTCCGCTATCAACCCCCCCGATCCTCCTATTGCAGGACAGGGGTCTGGTCAGGTTGAGAGGCTAACGGAGGATCACAGACACCGCCGGGGCAGCCTAGCCCCCAGTGACACCCCACCCAGATGGGCTGGGAAAGTGAGTCTGGGGTCCTGGGTGGGGGCCCTGATGCAGCCACTGGGCTGCTGCAAGCTGCCCTGTCCCACACATTCCCCTGCTCCAACACTGTCCCTGCCCAGACCCAGGGCAGATGCTTAACCCAATGGCTGTGGAGAGACAGGGCAAACACTCATGCAGAGACCACGGGATTAAAAGGGAAAGCAGATTTATTTCATGCCATTCACAGTTTGCAGCAGGCTTAGTGTTGTGAAAGTAGGTTAAGGAGAGACGTGCTCCCAGCTGTCACGGGTGCCCTCTCCCACCTGCGTGGGGATGCAGCTCAGACACAAGTTTCCAAACCACCACCACACAGCACCTTAGAGCCATCTGCCAGGTGGGTGGGAGGTTGGTACCAGGGCCCCGCCAGCTGCAGGAAAAATACAGAGACTGATGCCCCAAAGGTGGGTGGAGGGCAGTGGGCCCCCACCCACCTTGTAGCAATCATAACCTTGTAGCAATCAGAATAGCCTATAGGTGAAGCAAGAGGAGGCAACCAGAACCCTTCCTGGGAGCCACAACCAAGCCTGAAAATCCACACACATGCCCACACGCCATACACATGCACGCATAAGCATGATCAGCCCCAGGAAGGAAAACTGCTAGACCAGGACCCTAGACCCCTTCTGGCCTCAAGGAGCAGAGGTCAGTCATGGCTCTGATGTCACAGGACAGGCACTGAGCCCCAGGCCTGATGTCACCACCCAGGGCTCAGGTGCTCAGAAGGCATGGAGGAAGGAAAGGCAAAGAGGGCATACAAATCAAAGTTCCCAAACCAGAGACCCCCCTCCCAACCTGGGAACTATGCACCAGTGTCCAGATTTGGTTTGTCTTAGGAAAGTGTGGCTCACTCCAGGTGCTGGGG